ACTTATTACATGTATTGGCTGTTGAAGAACTTGGAATTCTGTGCATATATGTTTAAGTTATCAAAAATCGAATAAATATCAGTGCTATCCGATTTTTTATATTGTTTAGTTGCTATTTTAATTATTATATTTGAATTTATTTCAAAAAATTTATGTTTACAAATTTATCAATATTGATCAAAGCACGGAACGCTTGATCAAAGCACAGAAAATCTCTAGATAGAAAGTAATTTTTAGCTCTGAAACTTTTTCAACTTTTGAGTATTAGTTTAAAAAACATAAACTAATGTTATGGTTCTAAAAGTTATTAATTCAACAAGTCGTCGTTATTGTCAAACTTTCAAATTTTTAAGATTATGTTTATATTTTTAAAATTGTCTCCAAAACTTCGATGAAGTCCTACATGTTTAAGAATATTCTCAAACTTTATGACTTTTATATTTAAAGTATTATAAATTGATTTAAATTTTTCATTCAAAAATCGTATGTGAAATCAACACTTAAATGTTGAATATTTCTATGTAAATTTCAAAGTAATCTGTTCTGTTGCTAAGCTTGTACGTAATTATTTAGTTGATCAAATAACATTTTTCGAGAGGTTATGCTAGTGTTTAATCCTTTTGCTTATCTAGACTTATTTCATTAGAGAAAAGAATATCCAATCTATATTCCAATTGATTGCTATCGTTATTATTAGTCTAGAAGAATGGTCGAATCTGTTGCCAATGTCAATATTCGGCTAGCTTGGATGCTATTAACGTTTACTCAATATATCATTTTAATTCAGGTAGTTGGTTAAAATTTTACCCAAATATTTAGACATGTATTTGAATTACTTAGCACTTTTGGCAACAATTTCGGTTTTTTAATCTAAAAATCAATCGTATTTATTATAAACAAGACAGAGTTTTGAGTACGTTAAGTATGTTTTTTATACTAGTTAATTACAATATAAATTATTTGGTTCTAGAAAAGAAGAACGTCACCCATAACGACAATATACACGCGTAGGCATCTGAAACACTTAGAAGGCTCATATCTTCTTAAGATCACTTCAGGTTTAAAAATGCTTAACGCATCGTCACTATGTCGTCAGAATAGTGATATGCCCGGTTTACATGGACGAAAATCAGGAATACTTCAGGATAGAGTTCCTTTGTTCATTTTTCATTAAAAATTTTTGTTTTTCTTCGTTAGCCTGCGTCCAGGCCTCGCTTAGATTTATTTGTTTTTTTCTAGATCATATTTTTTCCATTTGAGTATGATCGTAACGAAACGATCTATAGCGGTTCAGTTACTTTCAGATAGCATCATCTTCGTTGTGATATATTCGACGTTTATTTAACTGACTATTGTTTCAAGTGATGTTCTTTCAGTCTTCCATCTGTTGTTCAGTGTTGTCTTCGTTTGCACCTTCGTATATGCATTTCGCATCATTTACTTTGCCAATGCGGAAAAGATATTTTTGAAAATGTTCACGAAAAAAAATGAGTTTAGTAATAGTTTACTTCACCAGTTTTCCTGTTTGACCATTTCGCTACATCTGGGATCAATCTTCTTGAGTATTGGAATTAATTTAATATGATAATATGATCCAAAAAGATTTTTAACATAAAGGAAGCATCTCAAAATTATACTTATAAGTTTGTCTTATATTCTATTCTAGAAGGTTTTTAAAATCATAAAAAAAATATTGTGTAATTTGATATTAATTTAGTAAGCGCAACATATATTGATATCATGTGATACCACAGCGCATCAATTTAGACTAAATGTGGCCATTTTTAAATAATTTAAGACGACGATCACATGCATCTTACTACCTTTCTATAAAATGCATATTTTTTACAAATTAAAAAGAAAATATTTATATTTATAAATATTTTGACTTGGAAAAATCACTTGTACTTTATAAGGGTCTGAACATAATTTTATTCTATATTTTTTCGTCTATCGTTCTTATTAATTTGGTTGGTTTAAAATCATTTCATTCGAATCACTTCAATTAAGAAATACTCCTAATTTTATTCCATTTTAATAACTTATTTTATATATATCGAAACTCAGTTTATTTATTTCCTCTACTATTTTTTTCAATAATGCTGCTTCGTTTTATTCTTCTTCAAGTTACCCTAAAGTTAAAGTACCTCAACAAATTTTTTTCCTTAAACTTAATTGGACATCCTGCTTCCTTTTCCCCCCTCTTGATTGATATTGCGTGTTGCCAACAAAAATAAAATTCATTTCATATCACAAAAATATAAATTTTAAATTCATTGTGGTACATGTACTTCCTATGAGAAAAAATGTTAATTTATTTGATTGTTTTCAGTTAGTAGTTCCCAAATTATAAACACATGTATGTACATTTCCTTTAATTTATCTTTAAATTTAAAATAATTTTTTTTGTTAATTTTAATAAAATATGAGTTGTAATAAAACTGATTAAATTTTTATTCGAAATTTTTGCTAACTAATGACTTTTAATACTAAAAAGAGTTATTAAAAAAAAAACAATTGCTGACGAATTGTGATAAATGGTTATTTAGAAATTCAATTTGTTTGTATACAAAATATCTTTTGTAGATATGAAAACTCACGCATTTTTAAAGTCTCTTCTTAGCTGTTGTTGTTGAGTATCTCGCAGATACGTGGTCGTCTGTCTGGCTAGTGCAACAAATTAATTTAGTGCAGTTATTTGGTGCTTTTAATTTAATAAATGCGTTACGACTTGATTAACGTTTCAGCTCCGCAGGCTTAAAACAAATACCAAAAAATTAGTTTCAGTAATATATACCATATGTATATATATATTTTATTGTTTGCGTTTGTTTACTTTACCTTTTTTGTCTTATCACGTACGATTATAAAACATAGACAAATTTTAGCCATTTGCCAAAGCCGCAAGCTACCTCAAGCTTGCCTGGTTTTAAAGTTTTTGCGACTGCGCACACATTTGAATAATAAAATTGTTATTTTGTTTATTTTTTTATTTAGTTTTCTTTTTTACATAAAACAAAAATACTTTCACTTATGAAATATTACCAAAACCTAAACCAACCAACAATATGAACTCTACAGCGGTTTAGCTCGATTTCTGCTAGGATATCCGATAACTTTTCGTTGTTACTCACTCTTTGTTTTTGTTTACATACAATTCACATGTAAACGGTTTTGTAAATTTTACATAAGACGTGTTAACAATTGTCTAAATAATTATATACTATAATTAATTGTATGGCTTCCATGCCAAAAAATAGTTTGTCAATCAATCGGTTTAGAGTTAAAGATATGGTAATCAATTTACATTTAGAGTGTTTAGCATTTTTATAGTTTTTTTTTCATTAGTTTTTGCAAGTGTGTAAAAAGTTTATGTCTTCAGATATTTTATAAACTATAAATTTCAGTTAAACTTTCTGGTAAAGAAAGCTATTGCAAAAGCTAAGTATTTAAGTTTGTTTAACGTTAAGTTTGTTGTTCGAGTTCCAGTAGCGGCGATTATTTGTATTTGTTACGCTATTAGTTAAATTTACTTCATCGCTGGTTACATTAAATGTTTATTACATTTTCATACAAATGAAGTACTATATAATATAAGTGAAAAATTTTATTGTTATTGTTGTTGTTGTCCTAATTACAATCCACCAGCACTTTAGAGACCCTGATTTTTTTGCTTGCTCGACATTCTGTGAATCACAAACAAGATCCTTAAATGGTTTTAATGTTGTAGTATATAAAAAGTCTCAAAATATAGAAGAAAGTATATAGTCAGAACCCAATAAGATTTATCATTATGGTTATATGTTATTGGTTTATATTATCTGTCATAATGGTTAAACATAACCATATAACAATAAATACAAAATTATATCTAAACATACAAATTCAATGTCCGTATATTTGCTATTGATGGGCCTAATATTTTTATTTTTGGGTCCAAATTTGAATAAAAGTTGCTTGTGTAATTTTTATATACTTGTCGATAATAATTGGTTGCCTGTGCATATTGATAACAAACTTATATATATAAATTATTGTTAAGTGTATTTTCAGAACTTTGTTTAATCATAATAGTCCCAAATCTTAGACCCTTGCGAAAGTATTCTCCATAATTGTGGCTGCTACTGGTATCTATATAGATATAGATATAAAGATATTCTCTAAAATGCAGTATTTGTTAGAAGTAAATATTTATTACAAAATTTTCAAGTTGTAGGATTGTAGTGTAGGTTGATTGAACATAAAGGAAGGTTATACCATCGATCCAAAGGTATGCTACTTAGGTCTATTGGCTCATTGTGGTACCATATAACGGAATGCTTTTGGCAGAGGTTAAAATGATAAGCTTTTGCATAAGTTTTTTTTACAAATTTTTACATATGTATGTATGTTTTAAAATTTTTGGATAACTTCTCATAAGTGTGCTTGTATACCTACATAATATGTTCATTAACACATTTCTATTTCTTGGATTGAAAAATTTGTTCAACTATTAAGACTGAAACCCACTCATTTTAGATCATTTTTTTGTGTTTTATACTACTTCATTCCATTTTTCTTTTATTAAATTGAAATTCATTGTGTTGAGTAAAATTCACATACATGAGTATCTATATCTAAGCTTTCATATGATAGGATTTTATACTATTCTATTTTATATTATACTATCTTCGTTGTAATCAATTTCATGGAATAACATTTACTCTATATGGTGGCACAATTTGCAATTTCGTTTCTATTAAGGCTTATTATTATAAAGTTTTGATTCTTCTAATTGTATTTTGTATTTGTAAATAATATTTATTTTGTGTACTTTTCAAAATTTCTCCTAAAAATTAGCGGATACTTGTTTTTATTTTCTTATGTATTGTGTATTAACGGTTTTAAAAAATTAATAAACTAGGTTATTAACCTTATGTATTTAATAAAATTATTAAAACTTCTTTTAGTTGAATTGAAACTGTATTATAGAAAATAATATAAATATATACTTGTAATGTTGATAAGATATATTGAAGTGTTCAATTACAATAACTGCAATTTTATCAAATATGTGTGAAAAATATCATGGTTACAACAATTAAAATAACATGTGATGGAGTGTTCATCCAATCCAACTCTTATTTGACATCAAATTCAAATAGAACAACAAACGCTTCAATCAATAGATCAAATGCTAATGAAGTGACAAAATCGGATACAAAATCAGATAAACAAAATTGTCAAAGAGTTTCTCTAAAAGCGATAAATAATCGTTCTGACAAAATTAAACACTCAAATATAGCAACAACTAAAACAGATAAAATTATTGCAACAATAACAAATGACACTAACAAGGCAAAGACTGCAACATCTACTTCAACTTGTTCTCATTTAACATCTAATAGCTCGGTCAAAAATAACAGTAGTCAATTAAAATCTTATAAAACCTCACCGACTGCATCAGTAAAATTAAGAAATAATAAAAAAACGGATGCCCGTCGTCGTTACTATTTTGGCAGTAATAATATCTATTGGTGTAAAGAAACTCTTGGAGTCTTAAATGCTAATAAATATAATGATAACAATACCAGCGGAAAAATAAACACGAAAAGCATTAATAGTGGTCCTACGAGACGTATTTCGCGTAGTGTTAGTAGTGTTACTCATAAAGAACTTGAAAATGTTTATAAAAATGCTGTAAGTGCTAAAAATCGGCGTAAACCTTTTAATTGGAAAAGTTTAAGTGCTGCTTGCAAAAATCAAAATAACGAAAAAACTACCTCTAAATTCTATTTCTCAGATAAATGTTCTGATCTCGGTACAGCTAAAAAACCAGTGTTAAAAAATTCTAATACCAAAACATCTACTATATCGATTTTAATCGGAGAAAACGGTTCGAAGAAAGTCTATAATACGAAAAGTTATTTTGACAATCGTTTGCTTAGTTTTATCCGTTCAGCACGTAAAATTTATCGTCAAAACAGTGATCGTAATAGTAGTGGTAACATTTCAATAGATACCACAGATAAAGCTACAATTTCTAGTAAAAAACCTTTAACGAAGTCATACTCCAATGATGAAAAAAGCACTTTAAAAAATAAAGATAAACTTTATGATAATTTGGCAACAATAAATGCAGCAGCTGATTTAAGCGATGACTGGTTTGGTTAGTAAAATAATTATTATCTTTAAATAAATAAGACACGAAAAAATATTTAATAAACAATACCATTACCGAAATACTAATTTACGCCTCGAAATCCAAAAAACAAATGGAAGTTTCTTGTCAAAAACTTTTGCAAAACACTGTTTGAACATAGAACATAGAATTAGTATATACGTAAGATGCAGTTTTACTGTCCAGCTTGCAATTTTTAACAAAAAAATTCTATTAATATAGTATAAAAGAAAAATAAAGTCTAGTTCCCAATCAAGATATTTAATTTGCTCATTTTTTAAATTATAAATTCTGGATATTTTGCACACTGAATGTTCATATTGTTCTTCACCAATTTTTATACTACTTGCTTTTTATTCTACTACCGTTTAGGATAAACCAAATTATATATATATATAATAGGTGTTAATCGAAATGCTATTGTTCTCCTTAAACCTGACAAATTTTAGTGTTAGTGTACATATTTCTACAACCTATTCAGAATAAAAGAAAAATTGGAAATTTGAAATTTATGATAGTATTATGTGTGTTTAATGATTTTAGTATAAGTTTCAAACCGTTAGTTTATATTCCAAATCCAATCCTAACGTTCAGGCACATTGTATTGTACACTCATCGTTGCAAATATTTAAGTGTCTAATTTTGCTTCGTTACATAAATAAAATTTAATCACTTTTCTAACGATAACTTTTGTCTGACTCATCAGCTTATATAGCACCTAAGTCTTTAAGTTGAAATATATAATAATATATATATAATATATATATATTCCAATAAAGAATATGAAAAGAGCGATTGTCTGTATTTAAATCAGTTTTTGGTTATGTAGACTATACAAATATTTGTTTCATTCTGTTTCCATAGATAGGAGTATTCACTCTGTCTTGCAGTCATTGCAATGTGCACGAAATCCAAGAATGCTACACTAAAATTGCAAGAGTACGAGAACACGTTTGTTACAGAATTGCAATATCAAAATAAAACAGCTGTTTTTGCAGCATACCATATCCAAATTAGAAGCAACAGATGTCAAAACAGCTGTTTTTGTTTTTAGTTTTTTCTTTCGTTGCAAACGTACATATATGGGTTTAGGTATAGCAAGATTGCAAGCATTTGCAAGACACTTTGTGCGTGTATTTTGTTGTTATCCATTGCAAGCTCGCGTAAACTGTGAATTTCGTGCACCTTGCAATGAGTTTGGAAGACAGGGTGAATATCTCTCATATATACTTATATACTGTTTGTTGGGGAACTATTTTGAGTATTTTACAAAATCTAAAAAGAGTTAATCAGCAGTTTTTGAATTTTACTCAGTATGGAACATAAATCAAAACGAGAGGATATTAGAGATAATTTACAAGTGGTCAGTGATTAACGAAAAATTTTTTGCAAATATTCTGAAGTTCTTATGTTGTATGTAACTTGTTTGAAAGCTCATCCAAACAAACGAATTTTAAAAATAATAGAGGGATATCTATTCTTTGGTTGTATGAAATGTGCAAGTCTGAAGAAAGTTCGACGCTTACTATAGGGTCAAAAACAAATTTCTCTTGTATTACAGCTAAATTCTTTCCTTCATTTAATGTAAATTTTGAAGTATATATAGCTGCCATTACAATAAAATTTATAAATAAATAATTTATAATATTGAATGGATATATATTGTAGAACAACAGCATCCCTTGTTTAGATATAAGTTTAACGAGTATTTCAAGTTTTATTTGTATATTTATAGAATATTGGAATAGAATATTCTAGCTTCATTTATAATATTGTGTGGATTTTGAGATTTACAAATTCTACACACATTCGAAACAATTATATCAAAGAATTAATACGGTTTTTTTTTGTGTTTTATGAAGTGCAAATATATTTATTTTTCCATGCAATGCAAAGCAATTTTCTCTAACTAAATATGACACTTAAGGTCTTAATTGCATTATCGTTTTAAGTACCATATAGCGAATTTCTTTCAATTGACGTCAAGGACTTGAAATTATTTACATTAATTGCATATATATGGTACACATATAAGCCTTATTTATATATTATAAAGAGAATAAACTGCGTTGTTGTTTCTAAAGACATTGAAACAAAGCCTTATTTTACTGGCCAGTGACATGTAAATTATAGCCGATCTGACGATATGGTCGCACTTAATTAAATTTCAGTGATGAATAGGGCAAGTTGCCAATTTTGGAATTTTTATATTTGTATTAATAATTTATTACGTACAATTTCATGGATTAAAATTTTAAATCAATATTTTTATTTAATTTTTTTTTTTGTAAGTTTAACAAAAATATTATTTATACAAATTTTGAATATTTTTATACCGTAAAAAACATTCACTTTTTAGCTATTTTTAGGTAGCATTTAAAGCGCTCTAAATTGAAACCAATATTTGGTTTTGTAAAATATTTTTGAAAATGGTCATAATACTATTATTAAACAAAACTCATAAACTAAACAATAATTACTTAACCAAATGAGCACAATGTTCGCAATTATTTAAAGTTTGCACAATTTATTATTTAATTTTTTACTTTATCTTTTTAGCACTAAACACACTTAAGTTTCATTTTTAAGTAAATATAACAAAATTACTAAACAAATTGATTTAAGTAATTAACAATAAAAATAGCTTTTCCGTGTTATTAATTATTATGAATACAAATGTGGCTAATAAGTTGCTTAAAATATTTTTTTTTTATAGTAAAAATTTAATAGTTAAGTGGGTCAAAATAAAACTAAAATAAAATATTTTTTAATAAAATATTATTTAATACAATAAATCTATTCAATATTATAATTATATATTTATTTCTAAATAAAATCACATTAAAATTTAGTTAATTCAATAGTAGTAATAAATCATATTGAAATTAATTCATCATTATGTTAGTTTTAAAAACTTGGATGAAAACATTTGATACATACTATTTCGGTTAGGTTATAAAGGTCGCGATCAACTTAGACTGTTGACTGACTCTTTCCGTTGTTCATTTCAAATCTTACCTGAATTCTACATACTTTTCAAAGACGGGTCTTGCAACTGACTTAGATTTTTTAGAAAATAAATACCTATCTAGTTTAATATACGTTGTGCATATATTAGACAAAGACAAGCAGATGCATAGTACTTTTCTGATCTTCCTTAAAACTGTAGCAAGATTGATTAAAGTAACTATTCATTCTACGCTATTCTACTAGCGTGGTTTTGAACTTAAATGAAAGTAGTCATGGTAAATATTCCGAAAATGTTTTTATTCTAGCATAAAAGGACATCATTGAATTACCATAATAACATTCAAAATCTTGTAAACAAATAAAATTCGGTGGATTAGAAACTTATAGAACCTAAAAGAAGCTTATGTAGTTTCTACTAATACTGACTATCTACTGATAATTTCAATTTTGTGGTGCTGTTAGGTAAATTTAAATTCAACTTCTGGAAACTTTAAAATGGGTCACACTTATGTCACTAAAATTGATTGGTAAGGAGATGACCAGGATAAAATTTAAAAATTCCACAAAATAGGAACAAAGATATATAAATATATAAAGTTATTGCTAATAATTGATACTAATGATAATGATTGTTGATGATGACTATGAGGGGTAAAATGATTTAACATTAATAGTAATTAGATAAATGATTATGACTATCAAAGATTAGCTAAAATCTTCATATATAATATATATGAAATATATGAAATTAGAAATGCACATCTTAACAAGTTGAATTTATTGAATTATAGTTAAATATTTGCACTATCGAAGAGTGTGCGCACAAATTGATTGGCTACTAAAAATTGCTCTCATTGACCGACAAATCCGATCTATGATTTATCTAAAAATCACAGTTCAATTAACAACTACTTTCTGTATTTATGTGATTAGATATTGTCTGTCCGACGTGTTTTTTGTTTGTATTTTTGGAAAATATATTTTCCAAAGAAAGCGTTTTGTAAAAAGCATCCAACGTGTTTGTAGCAATAATATCCTGAAGGACTGTATCTTCACTTTTGTTTGTTTAAATTTCAAAAAATTTCAACAGTGTATTAGTGAAAAGTCTGTCTCAACGATGCAATCAATATTGCCATACTTATTACTTTGGAGTACGTGTTATATACAAAACTTTATCTATATGTATAACAAACAGCTTTATCTAGTGACATTAATGATAAATATTTTCACGTTATATTCTTTTAAAGATTGTATTAAAATTTTCATCAAATAACTCACTACTTTAATCAGTACATCTCAACTCAATATATTCTATAATAAACAAATTCTTTGCTAGACATCTGCCTGACATAGTTAAAATTATAACGATAACATTTATGTATATTATTAAAACTATGAATATGTATAACAAACTTTTTTTTTATTGTTAATTATTTAATTAACAATGTTAAAAAATTTTTTTTTTTTGTATGTTGGAATTTATTTCATATTTTTCAGTTAATTTTTTTAAATAAATTATAAAACAAAGAAAATGATTGTTTCAGACGAAATATCTACACAATTCGTACGTGATTAATCTATAAAACATGGTGGTGGAGCCCTGCCTTGTAGTACAACGAGTGCTGCGCTGTGTTGTGATGATCATCATTTTAATATCTCATCTACTATTTGCTAATTCAGTTTTTTACACATTTAAATACTGTAAACAAAGCACGAATATTTCGCTTAAATGTTTTATTTTGATTACTCAACACTTTGCTGTGATTTGTTTACATGCTAAGCGAAGAGCAACAATTTTGTTGTTTGTTGTTTGTTGTTTTGAAGTTTTAACCAGCATTTAATTACGTAATTCATCAAAATTTCGCTTGCTACTCAAAATAAATAAAGAACGAAATAGCAATTGCCCGGAGCAACATTTAAAGCAATCTTACTTTAGATTTTATAAAAACTGTCAAACCGCCGAAAATAATTACTTACTCAAGGAAAATGATTCAAAAAATTATTCAAAGTATTATTCA